ACAAAAATTGAAAACGAGCGAAGCTGAGGTATTATAGAAAGCGCGAAATTCTCGGTATTTTGTATTTCCATAATTGACTAAATCAAAGCAAGAAGAGAAGTAACTGTATACGTGGCGTGTCTCGTAAAGCACGACGATCGAAGAGGCCTAATTACCATTTCCCCACTGACAGGCCTTAATGATATTTTAAACGATTTTCACACCCGCTTTATTTACCCGGCTCGCCGAATTCAATTAACACCCATCGATTTTTGGGGGCCGCTTAAAACTTAACTTATGGTTATAAAACACGCCATAGGCGGGGACGGGTGATGATTCCGCCAAAACTTACATAAACAACCGAAATGATGGGCTATGGTGTGAATTCGTAATTGAGGTCGTAAATCTGTCAGCTCGTCCTCCCCGTGGAATGAGGGAGAGTTTCGTGTGCGCACAGTAATTACAAAATTTGTTTTTAATCGTTTCTTATTGTATTTACTTTCAATGTGATGTCACGTGATTTTATTAGTGTGGGTTTATCCTTGGTATTATCCAGAGGTGCGAACCAAGCCTCTTCAAACAACTGCTACTTCTCGATTTTCAGTCCGGATTAATAATAACGCCATCTATTTTCCTTCTGATTGTCTATCTTCTATTCCCCCACTTGTCTACATAAATACTAGTGTTAGTTGTAAGCTCGTATATACTTCGCCTTACTATATCCGACGGGAAACGTCGATTCTTTCCAAGGCATATATATATTACGCGAATTTAAAATCTGGTACCCCGTGTGCTTGTGTGCCTACCTTAACTAACAAAACAGTTCAAGGATGGCATAAAAAAACTAGTCTACTTATACCTATCACAGATTATTAATTGTGCAATGAAATCAATATTAAATCAACAATAAACCATTAAATTAATAATATTTCATAATTAACCACCAACTAATATAACGTGCAAAGCGAACCAAAATGCGTCTGAAATTGGTAACTTTAAATTAAGATATTTAGGCTATCACGTCGCAACGCCGAGTTCGAAACTTCATTGACGGTCACGCGATCCCATCGCGCCGCAAGTGCCGATTGATACTTTACGATTTTGTAATGTTTTTTTTTTTAATATTTATTTCACGGTAATTGCGGTCGATTTGTTTCAGACACGAAAAAAATCGAAACACGAAGAATCCTTTTCGCAACATTTAATCGAGATTACGAAAGCAACGGTACAAATATTTAATGAAGACACAAGTCGAAAAACTTAGAGATAATCCTTGCTGTTTTGTTCGTAATAGTTAAATTAACCATTGCAATATTTTTGTTTTTTTATAGAATGACGAACATACGGTCCACCTGATGATTATTTGGTCATGTTGCTCATGGACGTATGCTATGCCAAGCAGCTGCCTACCGCTAAACGTAAACGAAAAACAATATGGAACATACGAAATACGTAAGCAGAAAGTAAAAGATAAATTAAAAGTAACGTCTCAGCATCGTGAGGGCAGCCACAGACGTGCGCGCGAATATCGCACGCGATCGCAAGTCGCTTCGCACTCGCACGTCGAGTCTCGTCCTTCGAGATCGTATCGTGGGGTCACTGTGTCGCCGTCGGACATTCGCATTCCTTTGCCACGTACTAATCTTGCTATAATTCCGTCTAATATAAAATTTAAAGCACATAAAACACTTTCTAACGTTTTCTCTTTGAATAATCTGATGCCGCGGTGTTACATTTAAGTCAATAAGTAAGATAAGCCACATTTATTATACGTCTGAAATGGTATTTAGGAAGTTAGAAACAATTTCCTTTGCTGCGCAATGCATGGCACAATAAAAAGGTTACATAAATTTCTTAACGCTACGTCACTTTTCAAACTATGCCTTGAATGTAGCCCTGGAAATGCGTACGTCTATATGCGACGATCACCAGTCACCACTCACTATCAGACAGAACCTGGGCACGATTACTTCCGAAAGCAAAAAAAAAGTACCCATAAATAAGATGCGTAAAATAATATGTTAATTATTTTAACTGTATCATTAAACATGATAAATCTAAATACACAATCTTCGACTAGATTAAACTGACAGAAGAGTCATTGCTACAACTTAAATAGACACAGAACGGCTCATTAAAGGACGGTAGCTTAATCCGATGTAGTTTATTAATCATCGTAAACCAGAAGATTCAATTAGACAACTACCGGAAGGCACCGAAACTGGCATTTACAAATTATCAAAGATAAATAAAATCTTCTGATCGTGCAGAGGAGTTTCCGAACTCGTTCGTGTTATCTTTGCGGCATTTTTCATTAAATTTATCGTCCTCTTAATGTATCGAACAAAAATTAATTGAGCCTCTTAAGCGAAAGTATGCCGAGCTGATATAAAACTTTTGGGAATCCAATGACGATAAGCTTAATTACGATGAATGAAACAAATGCGTGTTGGTAAAACAATAAATACAGCTTTTATTCACCTAACCAAGCCCTTTCTTTTAAACATGTAGAAAATGGTGTATAAAGAATGATGAAGGTTTACGCATGACTAAATAATACAATATAACCTCAAAACAACAGAACTTAAATAACGCCACTGACTTTGATCATTATATTGGTTATCCCTTTCTTAAAAAAATAGAATTAGAATAGAAGAAATATAGAAATACTTAAACATAATTAACTATTTAACTGATTAAACACCATATAAAAATATAAAGCACAAATAAACAGGTTACAGAATCGAACAGAACGTAATCGGGATTCTACGTGTGCTGTTTTCATGATAATTGCCCTTGGTAATGTGGGGCAGAATATGAAACCAAGTGAACTGATGGCTATCGTCTCGTAATAACGCTTTGAACATTATTTTCACGTCTTCGAAACTAGATCTCGGTGCGGAGAATACAAAAACTGCAATGTTGTACCTACGCACAATCCATATAAGTTTCAGAACATTTTTGTTTTTGTCACAAACCGATACCGAACGTGTGATAACGTACAATTTATCCCACGTATATTCTATAACGCATTTCGTCTATTAAACTCATGAGTAGAGTTGCATACATGGGGATAGTTTTGCCAGCAAGAACGTGTTATGTTCTTTAGTTGTCAGCAAAAGCAAACTATAATATTTGGTACAGAATTCTACAGATGATTTAGCCGTTTTAGATTTCATTTGTATCAGATTATTAAGATCATCATATATTAATTTTTGGTATACAGTGTGATGAGTTCGTATTAACGCCCATGACGCTGTTGAAAAACGGCGCTGGTTTTGTGGAAATGTATCTGGAAATGGATCTGTATGTGGAGATCGGGTTTGCGGTAAACGCAAGCATAGTTTTAGAGGGTTATTTCATTTAATTTCTTTTGTAGTCCACTCCTTAAAAATCGATTCGCACTAAAAGAGTAAATTGTAGTTACACGTCGGAGCTCAAACGTACAGTTTTTAACCTTCTTTATTTCTTTAATTTAAAACTAGCGACCTACCATCGCTTCGCTTCGGAAACATTACATTTCATTATTGATGATAGCCGAGTCCCGCGATTTTACCCGCGGTTATTTTGGTACCGCGGGTGACGCCGCGGGGCGAAGCTAGTCTAAAAAAAGTAGCCTAAGTTACTCCTTATATCATAAGCTACCTATCAGTTCATTCTATCTATTTATTCTATTAGTTCAATCCAGCCGTTTCAGAGATTAGCCGGGTCAAACAGACAGACAGACAAAAATTTTCATATGCATGTAGTAAAAAGCGGTTATTTCAATATTACAAACAGACACTCCAATTTTATTTATATGTATAGATAGTTTGATTGAGTATTCTCAATGTGAACTTCACTACCACATCTCGTCTTTTAACTCTCGAGACTTTTTTCCCATTTTTCCTGTAAATAGCTTGTCATTTCCAAGATGACATGTAAAATATAACTATACCAGCGTATTCGTGATGTAACAGTGGTTAAGTCGTGTTAACGGACGTCAGAAAATCAGTGCTTATCTATCGGAGGCATCCGTTTTACGTGCCGACACGATGCCGCCGTCGCATCGTTTATGGTAGACGCTATCTCAACCATTATTATTGCTCATACATGCTCTTGAATTACATATATTCGAATTATACAAGCACACTAAACTGAAGTCGCTACGTGAGATTAGGAAACGCGAAAGTATTCGGGACTGAAGGATACCACATGCTAGATCAGCACTATGGCCCATACACTTTACAAAATTAACAACTTGAAAAAATAAGGACAAATTAGAGTTGAAATATACTTCTCTTTTACTTCTTCTTGAAAATTGTCGCTTAGAAAGAATGCTTTCAGATTCTAGGGATACAATAGAATCTACTAATTGTATGTTGCATTGTATATTGAGAATGTACTTTAAAAAACCCCAATGCAACAAAACAAAAGCGTCTAATATTTAAAATTTCGCATTATATTCGTTGTGACAAAATTTTGAGTTAGTCTTGGAATTTATGAAATTGTGGCGATTTCACGGTTTTATTCTCGTTAATATTGTTTCGAGTTCCCCTTTTAAGGACCGATATTGTTTAATCCAATACAATTGGGATGTGCCTTGAGTTTAGTTTAAGTCCCAATGAACATTTAACCTGAATCTATAGATTCCGGTTGTCACTTAACACCAAACAAGCTGTTGGCACCACTCAACCAAGCAGTCTAAAGTGAAAAATTAACGAACAGTAGGAAACGGTTGAAAAGAAATTGCGACCCAGCACGCTATGCTAAGCCGGCGCTAGATATATCGCACCGACCTAGTTTCAATTATTCAAATAATAAAACCAAACATCAAAACTGGTAACATCGGTCACGAAATAAATCAAGCTGTGACTATTTCACAACTTCACAAAAAATTTAAGCAGTACCCATGTAATCAAAGTGAATTAATTTCTTTTACAATTATATCTACCTCGTGTACGCTGGCTTAGAGAACACCCGCCTAAATTCACGTCGGTCGTGACTACGAGATATTATTTTATTTCCGTCAGTAGATACGCGCATCGTTCCTCGACCTGTGGTTCGGAAAATTCTATAATTTTCCAAAAGATTAACTTTGTTTTTCAGTTCACACGTCAAAATAATTTACTGTCCAGTGATAACGGTACGAACTAAAAGATAAAACATTTTGCCTTGGCGATTAGTGTGATAAAAGTTGTGTTGACTAAAGCAGTGCGTATTCCATTGTGTTTTTAAATATATTTCCAATCTGCTGTGCTGAAATGATTCTGTTTATTTTCAGTATTACGGCTGTGATTAATTTAGGTAAGTACAAAATATGGTAAACTAAATATCATCACAAAAACGTTTAACCGCTCCAAGCTATGATTTTCTGGTGTCATGCATTAGTAAATTTGTGCAACCATTAATACTAATGTTAATAGAGAAAACAGAAACATAAGCCAACCATTCAGTTAGAATAATGTTACGCGGTTACATCACAATGTTTAATTCAATTTGTTTGCATGAATGAGCGGGCTGGACGCCCGCGCCGCTACCAAACAATAGCATAGAGCTCATCTCGCCTCTGGATAAATATTTATTTATTCCGTTGTTGACAATCGTATTTACATTGTCAATGCGATGTGTCGCCACGACGCGGCGCGCCGCGTGGGCTGGGGATTTTATGTTGATCATCGCTAGTTATGAATTTGGGTCACTGTTTGTGAGATAAGTGGCTGTTTTATAAATAATGAGGACACGCGACAGGGTTTAGAATAATGTTTGGAATTATTACGCATGATCACTTCAATAAACTCACACTCATTTATACAACGAAAAATGTTGACATTATACATCTTGTTATGTACTTTTGTAAAATAAGTTTTTACACTAATTCTAATTTAGAAGAAAAAGTTTGAATCGTGACCTTCAGTAATTTGTATAATGGTTATCTACTTGTATTACTATTAAATAATTGTAATAGCCAGTGGAAACTGACACTAAATGAATTAAACTACTGTCGTATAATTTTCAGATCAATGCATAACCCCACTGTTTTTACAATGTAAATAACAAAATTTTATTCCTTGGCTTATTTAGAATATGTTTTCCCTACACTACAGAGACAAAACATAATTGTAACGATGAAACTGTAAAATCTAGAATCGTTAAAAGCCGTGGTAAAATATATTAGGTACACACTAGAACATTCCTTATAAAACTAGGTGTTATTGAGAAGCTATATTTTTATGATAGTATTACATTTTATTAAACAAATTACAATAAAACAAATGCCTACAAGTTATTCTTATCATTGTTATCGAAATAATGTTTTGCAATAAAATAAACTGTGTTTTGATAAAAATCGTTTTGAAGTTTGCGAACTGAATAAAAACGTAATACACAATAAATCCTTTCTTTTTTCAAATAAAACCTAACATTAAATACGATTAATATTCAAATCTCAGTCGATATCTAAGATTCCCGATATTTTAGGTATAATGCCATTTAATTATCTCAATCAAGCAGATAACTTGTCAATATAGATAAGATGTTCTTAGAATCTCTACTGTGCTCAATATTATTTAGATATCATTCTTCTTTTTCGGCTCACATGCCGTCTGGTGTTGAATAGATATCAGACCTTAGACGTCACATCGTAGATGCCGTCACCCATCTTGAGGTATAAGATCGAAATGTTAATTGTATTGTATTACAGCGATCCCCATAACCTAAACGAATGACTGCTTTGCTGCAAAAATATCTAGGATGGCACCAACCTTCCCATGGGAGCTAACGCAACGCCTTAATATAAGTAAATGGCAATTGTACAATATTCAGATAACCCTTTTGCCCATTCTCATGTAGTGTTATTATTCTAAGCCCAGACGCCATAACCTCCTGTTTCAGTATAACTACTAATAACTACCAATTTGGAAACTACACACTTGATATTCAACCTATAACTCTCAGAAATATCCGGATCAATCAAGACCCATCCATCAATCAAGAGCAAATTCTCTCGGTTCCATAATTACGCGGTATAGGTATGCTCCGAGTCCAACGGAACGATGCCCTGATGACCAGCGAAATGGCGCGAAATCTGAGAAAATGACATGTTATTAGAGCAGTTAAAACCATCGGAACTTCGTATTAAATGAACACAGACATGTAGGGATGGTGAATTTGTTTGAAAGTGTGTTTCGTAATCTCTGAAATTTTCGTGCATACTTAATTTTTTTTTACCTACCTCTGTTGATAACCTAGAGGGCTATGCCAGCTTCATCGAGCGTGTAGGCGAGCTCATGGGGCTCTAACCTGACGCATAATTCCGCTGCCAAAACTCACGTACACGAAAAAGTTTCGAACATAATGAAATGAACTTAATTATAACAATTAAGCAATAATTATACACCCTGAATGAACAATATTCTTCCTTTTGATTTGAATTGAGTTAAGAGAGAAAACGGTGGTCCGAAGCTTTTTACTTCTAAAGCAGCATCATATTTTGGTAGGCATCTGCTATATGAACGTGTTATCAAAAGATTCTGGCAATACTTGTTGATAACGTTTTTAATTGAATGTAGGTCTCTTTATCTATGAAATTACCGTTTAGTATACAGAAAGTTCGTTTTTTTTTATTTGTTTTTCTGTCAATCAAAATATGCACCCATGATATCGATGCATCTTTACCAGCACAGTGGTTTTTTTTATTGCTTAGATGGGTGGACGAGCTCACAGTCCACCTGGTGTTAACCAGTAACCACTTACTGGAGCCCATAGACATCTACAACGTACATGCGCCACCCACCTTGAGATATAAGTTCTAAGATCTCAGTATAGTTACAACGGCTGCCCCACCCTTCAAACCGAAACGCATTACTGCTTCACGGCAGAAATAGGCAGGGCGGTGGTACCTACCTGCGCGTACTCACAAGAGGTCCTACCACCAGGAAATGGTAATTCTTCAATGCCCTTAGCTCACGGGGCTCAAACCGGAAGTGTTGCTAACACTGGCCCTAGCAAGCGCAGTGCTTCGCAGAATCTACCACCGGATCGGAAACGCGACCCACTGAGGAGATCCGGCGAGAAACTCAGTAGACTGTCTATGGGTAAATTCGCTCATCGAGCCCTTCGTCCCAAGCGACGGGTTCGACGAGGACGATAACTGGTACCTAAAAGCACCATTAATGGATCGGAAGAATCCGTAATTACGTGTTTTGGGCGACGACGACTTACACTGCCAAAAAGTTGTTCAAACTTTAGAAAAAGTATAAGTCTGTCGGCACAAGGTCTGATGAATACCGCGGATGGATATTGTAAAACGGCAACTTCAAATACCTATTATTGCAAGTTTTAATGTAACAGCCCTAGAGTGAAGTAGTCATTACTCGTCTAGTACGATGCGATCGGTTACGGCCAAAGGCCACTGCGCAATATACTGGTATATACTAGAATACAGTAGGCCCAAAGTATTCCTAAGGAGTACTTACACGGTATTTAAATTGACATAGCTGCTGATTACAAACCAACAATCTATGAAATCACAGTACGTCGACTTTAATTCGTTTTATCAACAGGAAAAGCAATAACACGACAAAAACTTTATTAAATAGCTCTCAAAAACGAATACTGTGTATTATGTAAATGTATATTTGTAATGTGTTTTATCTAAATTTGAGACCAAAGGACATATCTATAGCAAAATTTTTGTTGCTGGTTATCTAAATCAATGCAGTCATTGCATACATTAGTACACACACAGAGTTCGATGGCGATCACCGACACACAAACATAAGTGTTTTTGTAATTTTGTTTTCTTTTTTTTTTCAGTCGCCTCTGAAAGTTGTTTCTATCAAAGATGCCTTGGTTGCTATCCACAAGAAATGATTTCAGCTGGCTCGTTAGTAGAGTGTCACCCAAGAAACTGGGTGTCGGCCCAATGGGTTCTAAACTATGGTCACCCGCCACCAAGCACCGACTCGAGGATACCAATAGAATATAGCTGCTTGAAGATGGTGGCTACACCTGATGATAAAACATGTGAGAATACATTAACATAAACAGAATTCAATATAATAACTGTTGGTAGGGTCTTGCAAGCCCGTACGGGTAGGTAGGTACCGCTACCTTACCTATTTTTATTAGGATTGCCTTGCGGGTTCCAAAGGACTACCTAACCGTTGGGCCTATACCTGAAGCACTAAAGACTGCTTAAGAAGCACGTGGAGAAGGGAAGTTCCTTAGACTTCCTTACAAGAGAGTTCTTATTTGTAGACGTTCGAGTAATTATCAATTAAAATCATCTAACGACTGAGCCCTCAAGCTGGACTACTTGTCCTGTAAAGACCTAGAAAGTCCTTCGAATCACAAGCGTTCCCTCCAACACAATAGTCAGATTTCCAAAAATTTGAGCGCGAATAAAAAAATAAACCTTATTCCATAAACATTACAATGTAAATGCCACCACTCAGCTTGAGACGTGTGGTCTTAGTCTCAATTGTATTGTATAGCGGCTTCGTCCCTTCAAATCGGATCGTGACTTTTCGCGGCAGAAATAGGCAGGACGATGGTATCTAACCGAAACTGTTTTATAAAACCTGCGTAACTACGAGTGGTAGTCATATGTTGTAGTGGCAAAGGTTATTAACACTGACCTATTCCTGTCGCGAAGCAGCTATGGGTTGCGGCTGAAATAGTAGAGTAACCATCATTCCGGCCGTCTGGTGTAGTGGTAAGTGACATGGTCACTACACAAGGGGGTCTCGGGTTCGAATCCCGCCAAGGGAAGATATTTGTATAATAAAATTAAATATAAATGTATTTTCTAGGGTTATGGATGTCTATTATATATATGTATGTGTATAATAAAAATCTTACATTCATATCCGTTATTTGGTACCTGTAACACAAGTTCTTTAAGAACTTATCACGGGACCAGTTAACGTGGCGTGATTGTTAGTAAAAAAAATAAAAAAAATAAAAAAATCCGTGACATTCAAGCTTGGATTACATGTATTAAGAAAAGAAAATCGCTTTTTTCAGACGGAAATACAATGGATGTAATTCGAGGCTGTATACCACGAGCGCAGATCGACTCCGTGTGCCTGGGTCTTATAGCAGTAGAAAAAGCACGAGGACATAGCGACGTGCGGTGTTTTATTTGCAACGGAGACAGCTGCAATTCTTCTACGCGTCTTCAAAAAACACCTTTGCTTTTCATCTTAGCACTATCGCTATATTACATCTTTAGGTGAAAATAATGAAGCTGATATCTGGTTTCAAAACACAAGTTATTCATTAATTCGTTTTTAATGCATTATTGTTTTTTTTGCATACAACCATTGTGTGTGTTAAATATGAATTATGTAAAAATAAAAACATTTTGTTTTTTGTATCTTATTTCAGTCTCTCAATAATATCATAATACACAAATATTAAGAAGCACCTTTATATGTACATTTATAACGTAACTATACATTATTTTGGCAAGGTTCTATTTGCGTGTATTATTTTGGGCGGGTTAAATATTTTAGTTATATTAAGCGTGGATTATTAACCTTTTTGCTCATTTTAGATATTTTATAATCTACTATAATAATTATTAATAAAATGGAGAGATTATACTGAAACCGTAATGAACTTATTGGATGAATCCAATGTCATATCACAGTCATAATTGGTTTCAATTCTCGCGTTTTAAAATACATACTAAACAGTTAACTACAAAATTCGTCATTATTACACGCTATTTAAAAAAAAAACAAAAAAAAAACAATACTACAAAAAAAACATTCTTCAAGATCTCGCTAAAAAGTTGGGCCTTATTTTTAAACTACTGTTGTATTTACTGCACGCTGTGAAAGCCACAGAGGCTAGGATGAAGGTAGCTGCGCATTTTAGTTTAGTAGGTAATAACGAGGATATGCCTTGCTTAATGTTTTTTTTTTTTGGCCACGCCAACAATCCTTTTTACATTCTAAATTGAATGTACAAATCAAACAACTTCAGTTCAGTTTTCAGCGATTTCACATAATATACATACATGTGGTTTTCCGAATGGAAGTTTCTTATTTATTATTAAAATAGAAAATGGGCACAGTTGCCGTAAAATGTGAAGATCATTGCTACTGGTATTATTGTATGCTATTTTTAAAATATCTTCGATCAAAACGATAATTTTCAAATTTATTCACGAAAAATCTCGCATTCGTGATAAGCAACTCTGCAAGTTTGTTGACAAAAAAATTACGATATTCAGTCAGTTTCATAAAACAGGGAAGCGTTGGGCCCTATCTATGCGACACGCAAGAAAAACCTTGCCGGTTTTTTTCTACATTACGTCTTAACTGTATAAAATCCTACATATAAGTACATGGATGGATAAATCCGAAACTGTTAAAAATAGCAAGTTTCTCGAAGTAATCACAAGATTAACTTTTAATAAAGATATAAATCGAGGGGTGAAAGGCTCATTTGGTTTAAGCGACATTTCGCTTAATACGCGATATTTATTTTTGTAATTAAAGATGAGTTTTATTTAGCATTAGCATCAACAGTTCAATATTTTTAATTGAACTTCAATTAAGTTTACTCCATTCAAATAGCTGAAGACGTTTTTTTTGTTATGATTTTTTTTCCAAATTTTAAACTTTAAATGGATCTCCTGTAAGTTGCAAAAATTAAACCAAATAGTCTTTCACCCTCGAAATTATTTTAATAGATTCGTATCGAAAATCCGATTGACTCCGAACAAGATTCCATCTTTGTAGTTTTCAGTTATGGTAATAACGTTACATTTAATAAATAAAGATGGCTCTTTAGCTTTAACCATTTTGCGGTACTTGTACTCTTACAGTACCAGATTTAACCCTCCAAGTCTACTACAAAAATACAACCTATGTTCACTAACACTTCACTAACAATTACTGGAATGTAAACATTTGTTAAATATTGCTTTATAGCTAGCTTATAGCTCTATTATCTATTCGACGAATACCCGCCACAAGTACACTGTGATAACTAGTATTTAAACTTTAACAGTTTTAAAATTAAAAATTATAGATACAGCCTTAAGCGACTATGTGAATGGCGAAGGCGAGTCTTTGATTTTGTATTCCATACAACAATAGTACAAACAGATCTTTGATCAGTACTCGGTAATGCAGACCTGTTTCTTTGAGTTTTCAAGTCATCTTATGTTACGTGCACTGATTTCATAATATTTTGAAAATATTGTGATTCATACTCACATGAGCGCAGCCTTTTCTAAGTGGTAAAACTACATTCCAAATTAATGACAGTCACAAAGATTTAAAAACGCTTGTAAAGTTCTGAAGAAACGTATAACTTTTGTATTTGTTTTATTAACCACCGAAAAAGGTCGCATTTCAAAAAACTTATTAAAAAAAAAGAACTATCACATAGTTGTTACGCTACTTATAAATAATATTCAAATACATTTCATATATATGGAAGACGAAAAGAGCGAAAATATTTAGAAAAAAAAACATTCTCAGATTATTCAGTACCACTATCAAATTAAGCAAAATATACTAAGAAATTCTCGTAAATAATAATAATAAAACAAAGGGTGTATCATATTACATTATAGAATAAGCATTTTTTTAAACAATACAGTGAATGACAATTTTAAGACTAGAAGACAACAATAAATAATTATATATTGTTATTCTTTTAATTCATTGTATTGCACTTATTTCCTCCTCCTAAGGTAACGGCGCAATGCGAGTGTACTTCGGCACTCTCTCCCCTGCCTATTATTAAATTGTGTAAATATACTATTTAAAATAATATACGCTTATATTGCCGGCTACTTTTAGATTAAATCGAACAACTGTCATCAGATCATTCGTTTCATTTTAAATTTATTTTATGTAAATCATGTTATATTCTAATTTACTGAAAAATACAATTTCTAATATCATTTCAATTTTAATAGTATTTTATTGACTCTTAATTGTGGCGTGTAGAAGTAAAGAGCACCTTATTGTTTAGGAAACAAAATTTGTCCACCTGTTAACAGCAAGTTATTTAATTTCATTTATTGAAGACTCACCGAAATAGCGTTAGAGTAGAAAGTTGAAAATATATGAATATAGTGGTTTTAAGCAGACTGAAGTGTTCTATGTTGAAAAGTATGTTATTTAATTTATTAAAGACTCACTGAAATAGCGTTAGTGTAGGAAATGTAAATAATATGAAAATAGCTGTTTTAAACACACTGAAGTGTGCTAGGTTGAAAAATTTAATATTTTTCTTTAGTTACTTGTGTAGTTAAAAATTAGGCAGTATTTGAAATCACAACTATTTATTTTTATCACTACTTTTACTTAGGAAACGTTTCTTTCCTTCTTTATTATTATTGCTTAGATGGGTGGACGAGCTCACAGCCCACCGGGTGTTAAGTGCTTACTTGGAGCCCATAGACATCTACAACGTAAATGAGCCACCCACCTTGAGATATAAGTTCTAAGGTCTCAACTCAGTATAGTCTCTCTTCAGTATAGTCACAACGGCTGCCCCACCCTTCAAGCCGAAACACATTAGTGCTTCACGGCAGAAATAGGCAGGGTGGTGGTATCTGCCCGTGCGGACTCACAATTGGTCCTCCCACCAGTAAAATCTTCTACCTTATAATTTAGTAGTCCACTATAACAGTTTATGGTGCTGTGTTTAAAATCTTTCTACTTGCTACTATGGCGCCACCGTAAATGGATCCGTTTCACCCAATATTTTTTTAATACTCTGAGATAGTGCTCCTTACTTCTACCCTCCATATTCTCAATTGAAAGACACATTGTGTTGCCAATGTCGTGTGTGACTTTTACTACACTCGTCCAACACAGAGAGTTACCGTCGATGTTGTCACAGTTAAATGACCGAACTGAGAGACCGGTAAAACTTAAAATTAAATAAATATGTCAAATCTAAAGCACAGAGATACAATAACAGATCTTTTTTGTTATTCGCAGTAAATAATAATAATAATGTTAATGAGATTTAAAAAAAAAAACGAAAATAAATGCGATTTAAAGCTAAAGATTACAGTACAAAAGACTAATACTACTATAATACATATCGACGCTTGAAAGGCAAACGTGACTAAGCGACAATAACTGCTTTGTACATAAATGATAGGCAATAACCATATTCGATGCGCAAAAAAAAATATATTTCTAGGTCTATTAAAATCATTTCAATCCTACAGCTAGATTCGTTAAAATAGAATTTTTTTTCAGGTATTTCAACTTTAAATTAGTCTACTGTAAAGTTCACGCATTGTCGCTTAGTCACTTTTGTCTTTCAAGCGTCTTTAAATACTGTTGACACAATATCATTTATGTAAATTTAAAAATCAGTTTTTGTTAATACTACTCCTATTTTTTTTTAAATTAGATTTAATGTTCAAATCTATCGCTGCAAGCTTTGTCAAAAAATCTACTTAAAACCTATTATTGCTGTCTTTTTATTTCGATTAATAATATCGAATTTAAATGAAACCTGTTTGCATGATGATCACATTTGAATATAAATACTTCGTTTAAAGTGCAATGTAATTATTTTTCTATTTATACGATATTATGTATGAAATCACAGGTGACATTACTGGAGATGCTTAAAAGCTACTGCAACTTGTAATGATATGTCTTTAAAGCATGTATTAAGTACCAAATTATCACATATCTTGTACTTAGTTACTGCTTTTATGGCCGTACTGTTAACTATTTGTACTATATCACATGATCAGCGCCAAGGCACACGTTCAAAATGCCATATTTGACTATCGTCTTCAACGCATCGCTTAGACGTTAGTGCTTCATCAATACCATCACTATTTTTCTCGGAGATTAGCAACGTAAGACAAGAACCACTTATAGTTTTTAATCTAGCACCATCTTGCACCCAAATTTGCTTTTTATTGTCACTACAACTTTTCCACACGGCTCGGCCGTTTCCTTGCTGCAAACACAGCCCCTCGTCCGCCATTATCTTGCCTTCCGGAGTATAGACAAGTAGTCTATCAAGGTCTAAGTCAGTACCGCATTGTAGACCCAAAGCCGGAGCTCCAAGCCCCGGTGTTCCTCCAGTAATACCCAAACAAGCTCCCTTTTCATTCTTGATTCGCCCAAACCATCTCTTGGTTGTCGGAAAAAAGTGTTGCGGCCACACATTCTCTAAATACCATTCGAAACTTTTGCAGTGTAAATTCTTACGTAATTCCACTCTGTCGTAAACGTTTTGTTGATCGCGTATAGCAGAAATTGGCGGGTTGAATTTGAAGAAGAAATCTGCCCATTCGTCCATCCACACTGTGGCAGCGCGAGCCAAATTCGAGTTCAACACTTTAGAGACGCCCCCTGGGTATTTGTACGGACTATGTCTCCTGAATATATGTCCGACTCGTGAGCACGGCGTTATTTCGACCCTTGCACCGCACTGCCATGCCCTCCACGACAACTCCAAGTTCTCAGCGCCCCATATCAGCATACCAGAATCATAGCCACCCAATCTCCAGAACAAACTTTTTCTGACTGCGAACAATCCTCCCGCCATCGCCGGCGTGGGATATGGTTTTGACGGATTCCTAATCTTCTTTAACATTACATCTCCACTCGGAGTGAGCCAACGGAAATGTAAGCGCCAACTGAACGCACCCCAGTGGGCGTCTATACTTTTGGTATAGGCTAAAGTGTCCTCTGATAATAGATCTATGTGGGGACAAATGAAAACGTCATCATTACCTGCTCTATCCAATAGGGGCTCGAGCCATCCTTTGGTAACCTGAAACACAATATTATAAGTATCAATACAAGAAGTACTCAATGAAGCAACCTTTGAGTTAATTTATTTTTACAAGTCTTCTTTTTTCCTCCTTTTTTCAATTGGTTCCAATCATCATTTTCATACGAATATGATCTAATTCTTTTGTATTTGTTAGATGTCTGATTGATAATGATTAAAATTGAAAAAAAATTTTTTTTTTTTTCCCCTACCTTTGCTGATAGCCTTGAGAGGCTATTTCAGCTTCACGTTTGTAGGTGAGCTCACAGGACTCAACCGGAGAGTTGCTAACACTGACCCTAGAAAGACCAGTGCTTCGCAGAATCTACCACCGGATCGGAAACGCGACCCACTGAGAAAATCCGGCGAGGAACTCAGTGGGCTGTGTCTATGGGTTAATTCGCTCGTCGAGCCCTTCGTCGCAAGCGACGGGTTCGACGAGGACGGTGACCGGTGCTTGTGGTGCCTAAAAGCACCGTTAATGGATCAGGAGGATCCGTAATGACGTGCTTTGGGCGACGTCGACGGTTTACCATTAGGACTACTGGGTCGGGTATGTAGTTTCCAGCGGCTACGATGAGAGGGCTCTCATGTCGTGCCGCCTTCTCAAAATGGCGCAGCGATGCCGACTGTAGGTACTTACTAACTGAGTCGAGCTCCAGGTTATCGTGGAGATCCACGTTCCTCAGGAACCATGGCGCTCCGACGGCTATCCTGCAGAATCGGGATTGAATAACCTGAAGGGATTTCAAGTGGGTGCGGGCTACGTGAGCGAACACTACGCTTGCATACGTCATGACGGGGCGTATACAAGTTTTGTAGAGAGTTACCTTATTACGGAGGGACAGTTTGCTTCGACTACAAAGCATTGGGTAGAGTCGTCCAAGTATAAACGCGGTGCGATCGCGTACCGTTTTTATGTGGGGAGTTTTTTAAATAAGAATCCCTGTAATATATCAATAACAAACCTCACAATGTGCGTCCAAAAAGACTAACACATCTCCAGTTGCAACCCTGGCGCCCATCAACCTGGCTCCAACTAAACCATTCCTGTTTGAATTCCTCAGTATTTGCACTTTGTCTAAATTAGCTACAGCGTTATCCAATTCCTCACTTAGATATCTCCTGTCACTCGCATCGTCAACAAGAATTATCTGAAATTTTAATTTTCTATTACTTAAAAGTTTTCATTGAAGTGGTAAATCGTATCTCGATTCCTTGTTTACTACGAAATTTCAAGCAGAACCAAACACAACAAAACTATTCCCCTCGGACTAAAATTAATTTGGTAAAGTCGAAAAGGGGAAACCCTTTCTGTTTCTCTGTACCCTGCTCTAACTGCTTGCTTTAATGTATGCCAGGCTCTTATTTAGTCTTATCTTAAAACACGTACGAGAATAATTAAAAAGCGTCCACAATTTTGTCAACTCCCACAACAACTAATTTCAGTTTTTTTTTTTTTTTTTTATAGTAATCGATTTTTTGACGAAAAAATACAAAACATGTACAAAAATGTAACGTGTATGAGTGTAGTAAAACGTGTTTTAGTATTCGAATATTTGCTCTAGTATGCAGTGAAAGGAATGGGGAAATACGTTTTTTTTTTTCCTATCTATTAGCTGGTGCCTAAGGGGCTATTACAGATACGCTCGGATAGGTAGGTGGTGAGCGCACGGGCTCAACCTGAGAGAATTTGCTAACACTAGCAAGAGCAGTGCTTCCCAGAATCTACCACCGGATCGGAAACGCAACCCCCTGAGAAGATGCGGCGGGAGAATCTCAGTGGGCTGTGGATTATTTCGCTCGTCGAACTCTTCGTCATAGTCAACAAATACGTTTATATGGAGACTAGCGACCCGCCCTCACTTCGCCTCGGAAACATTAAATGTTATTATTTGGTAACCCGCGGTTATTGTCTAAAAAAAGCTAAGATAGTCTAAAAAAAGTATCCTAAGTTACCCCTTATATCATCAGCTACCTATCAGTGAAAGTCTCGTCAAAATCGGTTCAGCCGTTCCAGAGATTAGCCGGAACAAACAGACAGACAGACAGACAAAAATTGTAAAAAATGTTATTTTGGTGTATGTACCGGATATAAATTCATATGCATGTAGTAAAAAGCGGTTATTCAATATTATAAACAGACACTCCAATTTTATTTATATGTATAGATGTTTATTTGTATAAAAGGCCACCCTCCGTTTCTCTAATGAACTTTATAAGTTATTTTCTTTTGTGGCTCAAATCGATTTCGACAGCAGCCTTTTCTATCCGGGGACGATGTCTGCAGTATGGGAACAGCATTAAAATCCCAGTGGCTCGCACGCTCAACCCTCGATTTCTGAATCGATCATTATCGATACAGACCCCGAAAAGGAAAATATGTGATGACGCCATACCGTTACAGCCATATTTCAATGAAACTTATAATATCTAATACAGTCGAAAATTCGATCCCGCATTGTGATATGAGATCGAAATCATTCGAAGATCGACGACAAAACGAACCTAACAGGTTAAGGAATATTTAAATAACACAATTTCGGCTATCAGGTATAGGTTAAGGAATATTTAAATAGCTTAGTCTTAATAACCTCTTTTGTTTATACCGAACGACATGTCAGACTATGAAAAAAACTGGTGATTGAAAAAAATGAACGACAAAAATTTAAATGCCAACAAAACATGTTTTTTTATTGCTTAGATAGGTGGACGAGCTCACAGCCCACCTGGTGCTAAGTGGATACTGGAGCCCATAGACATCTACAACGTAAATGCGCCACCCGCCTTGAGATATAAGTTCTAAGGTCTCAGTATAGTCACAACAGCTGCGCCACCCTTCACACCGAAACGCATTACTGCTTCACGGCAGAAATAGGCAGGCGGTGGTACCTACCCGTGCGGACTCACAAGAGGTCCTACCAGCAGTAATAACATTCAAGATTATATTTTTACTTTTTATTGCTGAGCTCTAAATATCGGATAACTTTCAATCCGTTTTATTTTAAATATTATTCATGATAATTATTTAGAAGAATAAAAAATATTATTGCAATTGGACCAACAAGCTCACACCCCATCGGTTTCAAACGGTTATCGGAGCAAACCAGGTTGCGTATCAATGAATATACCTAGTCAGGTCATAAATTCTGTCACATGTTTAATGTAAAATAATTGAAACAAGTTTATTCATTATGTAACCATTCATATACCAAAATGAACTTAACAAAACATAGTTTCTTATGACACTAAAGTTTATTCAAAATGACCTCCGTGATTTTGAATACAGGCCTTCAACCTGCGCGGCCAGTCGTCTATCGCAGCACGAACGAGGTCCATGTCAATATCGGCGGCTGCCTTAATCAAGGACGTCTTGAGTGACTCCAAATTGGGATGAATGAGGCTTTGAGCACGCCTTTTCCACCAAGAGTTGCCATATCTTGTAATCTAACGGATTCAAATCTGGACTGGAGGAGGGCCAGTCTTCGTGCCGGATGAAGTCGATTTCACGCGCCGCCAGCCAGTCTTGTGTGCTCTTCGCTCTATGAGCTGGCGCCGAATCTTGATGGAATACCCAGTGCCTGTTATTGAACATGGTATGAGAAACAGGTTCCACAAGGTTCATCAGGACTGTATTTTGATACACAACTGCATTTGTTTTTACACCTTTCTCACAAAAATGTACCTCTGTTAAGCCCCAATAAGAAACTCCCAACCATACCATGAGCGAGGTTGGAAAATGACCTCGTGGGACACGTGGAATACGGTTGCTCGCTTCTTCACTACTGTGTGCGTACACCTTATCATTTTGTTTGTTGTAGCTCTCTTCTACGGTAAAAATTTTTTCATCCGAAAAAAGAATTTCCCGATATTTTTTTCCCGCGTACCGCTTCAACAAAGCGCGGCATCTCTTCAGTCTCAGGTCCATTAGACGAGCATTCAAACGATNAGTATTTGCCATGGTTGGGCACACGATTCTTGTGCCGAAGTAGATGAAGAAGACGACGAGGCACACATTTGTGAACGCTGTCTGCCCGATTGAAATACGTACTCCTTTTGCCCCGTAGCATTTCCCATCTTACCCCGTCCTTGGGGCAAGACGGGAAATTCGCCACCTTATCGTTAATCATTATTTGTAAAAAAACTTCTGTGATTTTGGTTGATAAAAGTATTAATTTTAAGAAACAAATGTATAAGTGTTACTTATTTTCTTAAAGAATTTAATTAAAGAGTATAATTGTCTTTGTACAGCGAGTTTTGTCTTAGCTATCTCATCTTGCCCCGGTCTCCCCTACATACTAGTCGAAGTAGTGGTATCCTAGGATTGAATAGAACAGAAAAAAGTCTCGCAAACACAGACCCGCGCACCGTTTGTTGCACTGATATACATATATTATATCAACTTGCACATTAGACATCAAAAGATTATATTGATGTGATGAAAACGCCGCCCGTAATACGAAACGATCTGGAAAGCGGAGAGATCGTATGACTGCAACTGCGTACATATTTTGATGACGTCAAAAATAGCTCGCTTTATATTAAATTTCATTGCCTAATATTGTATTGCAAATAAGATTATTCTAATTGCCATTGAATTTTTTTATGTTTTCTCAAAAACAACGTGACTTAAGTAGGTTCGCTTAGTTTAAGCTGCTCTCTTCACATCATACATACGCACGATTCATAATAGTGTGTTGAAAAGGCAGCAATATATAATATGTAGAAATATAAAATAAAAAGGTAATTGTACAGTCATCCTCGTAACGTACACGATTACGTAATCTTTAGATTAGTTTGTAATATTGCTTAACGTATATCAAGTGCATTGAGAAAGAACTCAAGTTGATACTTAAAATTTCAAAATTGCAAACCAATTTTTTTTGTTTTCATTCTAAATATGAACTAGCCTTATATAATCTAGGCAAAGATAATACAAAACACTTAGGTAAATAATAAATGTATCACTGACAAAACCATAAAAGTAACCTATGAATGACCTAAAGGTCTCTGTTACCAGGTCATAAAATAAAAATAAATTAAAAAGTTACCTATGACCATTGACCATATTTGTAATTTTTTTTTTAAATCTTGTCTAGTAAAGCATATTTGACTTCTAAAACTGATATGTATTGTTTTTGATGTATTGTTGATATTTGAGCGACCATTTTGAACGGAATGCTTTTAAAACTAAATTTTAATTTCTTTTCAACAGTGCAAGCTTGTTCCGCGCTCGTTTCAACCGCGAAGTTCAAGTGACGCTAACCAGTTTTGTTTTTTCCTCCGATAACCTCGAAATCGTGTTGTTTCTTGACGAGGATGTAGTGTTTTGTGTGTAAAATATTTATATAGCTACATTGAAATGTATGTTTTACGCTAGTTTTTAGATGAGAGCTTTTGTATGTATTAAAATTACGTAAACAAATAAAAAGCTAATCGAGTCTTGCATTGTAATCGTAATCTATAGATTTACAATATAACTATAGGAAGTGGCAAAGTTCATCGACTGAAGATTTCAGCGCCCTACGTTTCCAAAACGGATTTATGTTTAAATTAAATTTAAATATTATTATAAAAATTTGATATGAAATATTATCACAGATCAAAATGGCGTCTTTTTTTTTCACAATCTACGCCACACGATTATGATCTTAAATTTTCATCATCATTCTTTGTGCTAATAATTGAAAACGATCCGAAAAATGTTTTTCAAATCATAAAACCTACGCGAATACTACAGAAATGATACCTCTACTGTCAACTAGCAGAAAATTTATACAAACCTATATGGAAAATAGCTGCCGGAAGTTTTCAAATCTCTTCTTCGTCGCGTGTAACCGTGAATCTGCAAGAAGGATACATAACATTATTTTATTATTCCAGTTACGTACTCAGGATCTGATCTCGGTCCTACTATTATTGGAAATTTTAAGAGCGGCCTTTAAGGAAAATATCTCTTATAAACCTCATTTTCATTTCGTCTCATCACATGTCCATACCGTCCCAAATTATTCAACCATTAAGGAAAATAATTACCTAAAAATAAGTTTCGAACACTCCATAGTTTTTATAGTTACGGACGATTAAGTAGTCATTTGTATAAGTAATTTGAAAAACAGCAGATTAGAATTTACATGATCATATACGAGCACATTATATTTACGATTCTTGAACATTAAAGATTTTTTTCTGGATATAAATTTTGAGTGTCATTCACTAAGAATCACAATATACCTAAATAGTGGACAAAAAAATCAAACTATTACGTAGTAGCTAAAGCTTCTATCGTTTTTATACTTAAAGTGAAATTAAGCAATAGATTTTAGTTTTGGTTTCAAAAATGTACACGAAACACGATTCAGATGATTACTTCAAGTTTCCTCGTTTTTTTATTAAATCAAAAACAGATGAAACAATATGTACAAACTTAATAAGAAATTCATTAGTAATTTACTTTCATAATTATATTCTAGCGCTGGATGTAATTAGAATTTAATTGAAATTTATTGGCTGACTAAATAATATCGGTTACTAGATGACCGATTTCAAACACGTATTAATATATTATAATAGAATTTCATCGAAATTTCTTGGCTTACTAAGTCACATTGGTCACTTGACCGATTTCAAATGTGTACTTTATTACACTTGAATGATAATAAAAATCATAGTCTTTGGGTGAAACAGATATACGTAAAACACGTATTATCATATTAGTATTACTGAAACTTTGGCGTAATTTCTCAAGCGGAGCGGTGAAAGGCGACGCAAGGTCGTTCGGACAACAATGGAGTGAATTGTGGTCGATACCGGCAGGCAGCGGTCGGGCCGGAAAGAGGCTCTATTCATTTAAACGAAACCTTTGTTTGATAGATCCTTCTCGTATCTAGACTAAGGCTGACTACGTTCAAGAACTGCTTCTAATTAAATTATCTAACTCGATTTCTATTAAAAACTCTTTTTACCTAAGCTCTCGATCGATTCGTTCTCGAAAGTGCGATCTAAAATTCGCATATCGCATTGAATAGTATTAAAGTTTACGATAATACATATTTTTAAAATGCTTTAAGCACTAGAATAATTTTAAAACTAGATTTGTTTCGATCATTCATTTCAGAACTATGTAGCTTAATTTATCATAGAAATTAAAAATGAATTGTTAATCTTATCATCATTAATAAAATATCTATAACATTTTACTAAAAGTGAAACTTCACGAAGCGGTCACTGAATACTGAATCTCGTAAAATCAAAGTCGTGTTTTGTCACTGCTTATTAATTATTAAATTACGTATGTATTTATATTCACCAGTCGATGGAATATCACAGCAAGAATCAAGAACAAAATTTCATTAAAGAAATAATTTTGTTGTTTACTAGATCCTTATTATACGATTTTTATGGACAACGCCACAAAAAAAAACAACTAGTAATTATAGCTGCAACTATATTACGGTATTATCTCGGTTTTTTTTTTAATTCTCATTATTATATTATCTTTTCCGACGTTTGCAAGACTTCACAGTTTTCATGGTCACCACGGACGACTAAGGCGGTAAAGGTTGTTAGGTTTCATATATTATAATAATTCGCGTTGATGGTTGGGCGAGCTCACGTCCGAATGGATGCGGCCACCTACTTCCCCAGACTTGAAGTCGAAGTCTCAATATCATTTGAATAATTACCACACTATCCATCCAACCAGAACGACTTTTTTGTCGTCGATTACGACGAAGAGTTCGACTAGCGAACAGTGTACTTAGTGCGAGTTTCTTGACGTTCTCGATAGCGTAAAAGTTAAGCCAATTTTTTATGCAATTGGAACAGCGCCCCTAGCGGCAAACGTACGCAAACGATCCCACTCCATACAAATATGAGCTAACTTTTACGCTATCGAGAACGTTAAAGAACTCGCACTAAGCACACAGAGCCCACTGAGTTTCTCGCCGGATCTTCTCAGTGGATCGCCATTCCGGTCCGGTGGTAGTTTCAGCGAAGAGCTGCTCTCACTAGGGCCAATGTTAGCAATTCTCTCAGGTTGAGCCCGTAAACTCCACCTACATATACGCGCGTAGTTGGAATAGCCACTTATAGCTACCAACGATTAGGTAGGGTGAAAGAAATATACTGTTTTGCCGCAGAAATAAATAGTTAGGACGCATTCAACATCACAAATACATAACCTAAATGTACCATTTGTAAGTTCGAAAATAAAACAATATTACATGAAGTCGTCGTGGCTTAAAGGATAAGACGTCCGGTGCATTCGGATCTAGCGATGCACCGATGTTCGAATCCCGCAGGCGGGTACCAATTTTTCTAATGAAAAACGTACTTAACAATTGTTCACGATTGACTTCCACGGTCAAGGAATAACATCGTGTAATAAAAATCAAACCCGCAAAACTATAATTTGCGTAATTAGGTACTGGTGGTAGGACCTTTTTTGAGTCTGCACGGGTAGATACCACCGCCCCGCCTATTTCTGCCGTGAAGCCGTAATGCGTTTCGGTTTGAAGGGTGGGGCCATCGATATAATGGGTGGGGCAGCCGTTGTAACTATACTGAATACCTTAGAACTTATATCTCAAGGTGGGTGGCGCATTTACGTTGTAGATGTCTATGGGCTCCAGTAACCACTTAATATCAGGTGGGCTGTGAGCTCGTCCACACATCTACGCAATAAAAAAAAAACGGAGTCGGAATACGTCTAATTACATCGGTTCGAATCTGTTTTACGATTCAGAGCCGGATTGTTCGCTGGTGTAATGATTTAATTTGTGTTTGTAAATCTGTTATTTATAGAAAACAAGTCTGACGTGTAGCTTATATGTCATAATACTTATATTATTAATTTGCCAATTTATCTTTATTAAATAGAAACATTAGATATGTGGTTAATATCTTTAGTTTGTTGTAATCAAGGAGAACCAATGTTTTTTTTAAGATTTAGAGTTGTTTCCTTTTTTAATATATGTGAAGACGTCGCGGTGTTATCGTACAAACACAATTTACACTATATTATAACTAAGCTCAAGTCGGCTTCTTGCAGATTTGTTCAAAGACATTCTGTCAAGTTCTTATATTTAAAATTACAATAATATCCTTGCGGTTGGTATGCAGCAGTCCCGAGGAAAAAAACAATTATATTCAACAATATAACAGTAATGTTATTATTTGTAAAAAAAAACAAACTTAAATGTTTCACACATTAAAACTTTGATGATAATTTGTAATTATAACGCTAAATATATTATAATAATATATTGACTGGAGTAGCCCTATAGACACAACCCACTGCCTTCTTGTTAAGACAGATGTTATTAAGTTCTCTCACTAAGCTCCGAAGGGTCGCCAACCTACAATTTTGAATCCAGAATAGTCCCACGAATCTATTGGTAAATAAAAAAAACTGGAGTAATTCTTCCTTATTATCATATACACTTTATCATGTATGTATCATGTATAGGAGAGAGATTATTCTAAATGAAACTTTTAAATTATGCCTTTATGTTTTTCTTTACCTATTAGGTATACATAAAAAATAAACAGTAAAATTTTGGTTATTCTCATAAATTGTATGTTCATATTGCAAAATGTGATTTTCTAAATAATTTTAAACTTTATTGTGTTGTAAAAGTACCGTGTTATAAGAGGATTTTGGAGATTTTTTTCTTTTCGTGTTAGAGTGAAATAATATAGTAAAATACCGTGTTTTAGGAGCTTACCTGTATTTTATAGTCCGCCGAATATACTCCCGAATGTCTTTACTACCAACGTCATATAACCAATAGCCTTCAGTTTCGCAAACAGTGTTTTATCAGTCGATAATATCATAAGCAATTATAGCAACACCATTCGTATCCTTGAATTCAATCTTACTGAGTTCAATGTGAATAGAGTGCGTTTGTAAGTTAGCTAAGCGCTGAACATTGAGAACATTGCTTAATTCGACGTTTCAAACAGCGTTCGTGACCTCAACGCCCTACTTTTTCCATTGTCCTGAACAAATAATCACCTTCGCTTTAAGTTATTATAAAACTTGTTCAAAAGTAATAAAGTCAAATTTTCAAGATCCACCCAATAATTTTGTTGTATTCTCCTTTGTCAACGGTGTGCCACGAAGCTCAGTTTTGAGATACCGCTAAGGAATACACGTTGTGGAAGCCCTAAATGATTTCATTCGCCCGATCCCAACGTAATGGAGATTACATAAGTAATTCACGGCGTTTCCCTAGCTACGCCGGGCTCAGAATCTCCGGGACTTGTGTTAGAAAGCGGAGAAGAATGAATAAATAATTAGATACTATCGGTTCAGTCACTATATGGATGCTCTAAGTTAAATAGTTACGAATATCGAAACTGACATTTCTTACTTTTCTATTTTCTTTGTTCATTCTTAAATATCTTTTTTGTTTGTCATTCGATTAACCCTCGAACGATTCGATTATGTTATTATGTTTAAACAAAAAAAACAAAGATAATTAGTCGGATTAATGTAATAGTCGTTAATATTACAACTATGTAGTTTATTTAAATGTTTATGAAACAAACCGGTTTTAAGTGGTCACTGGAGTCTATAGATATCACAATGGGAATGCTGCCACGTTTGGTAGGCGGCGGCTTGGCTCTGCCCCTTGCATTGCTGAAGTCCATGGGCGACGGTAACCACTCACCATCAGGTGGGCCGTATGCTCGTCTGCTTACAACGGCAATAAAAATAAATAAAAAAAAAACCTAACTCGAAACACGAATTGTCATCTAAGATTTATCTTGCGAATACATGTGCACAGATATTAAAAATGCAAACGAAAATCAAACCAACTTGTGCGTCTTACGAATGTA